TTCATCACTCTACATCAATTTCATCGACTACGAGAAAGCATTTGATAGCGTGGACAAAACAACATAATGGAAGCTTCTTCGACACTACGGCGTGCCTCAGAAGATAGTCAATATCATACAGAATTCCTATGATGGATTAACCTGCAAAATCGTGCATGCAGGACAGCTGATAGACTCGTTCGAATTCAAGACCGGTGTTCGGAAAGGTTGCTTACACTCACTCTTTCTCCTGGTGATCGACTGGTTCATGAAGACATCAACATCTGAGGGGGAGAACGGGATACAGTGAACATCTAGGATGCAGCTGAACGATCTAGACTTTTTAGATGATATGTCGGAAATGATCTATCACACACGCAACAACAAATGCAGGAGAAGACAACCAGTGTAGCTGCAGCCTTAGAAGCAGTATGTCTTAACATACACAAAGGGAAAAGCAAGATTCTCCGATACAACACAGCATGCATGTGCATCCATAACGTCTTTAATATTAATATAAAGATATCACTGTCTTTCCTATTTCGGTAATACATGTGATGCGGCAGAATGTGGAGGAAGTGTTTGTTTTACATAAAATTGGGAAATAGCCTACGCTCCCTCACACTTGAAGCTTTTAGTAGACTGGAAAAATTTATCCTAATTGGCTCCACGTCCTTTTGAAATACTTTCAAGATTAATCTACTTGAATATCATCCTCGTACAACAGTGATTAACTGTTTAGACGTGCCTTATTGATATTTATGGACAATCCAAGATAAACTGGTTCGCTCAGCCAATATTCAATATTTTTATGACTGGCTATTGTAAGTCAAACTATATTTTTGCCCTCGCTCTCTGTTGTTTCTATCCAGATCCAAGTCACTGGTGGCTTCTACAGTGAGTGGTTCAACTACCCAACTGTACTGGTTTTAGTGATTTCAGTAGTTATTTGGGGATTTGTATGTTTTGTAATCGGTTCAAACGCGTTAGTCTCAGGACAGTAGGTTACTGGAATCATCAGCTGTCACAATACCAGTCAGGGTGTAATTGGCTTACAATATGAAAATAGAAAAAATATCGAATTCGGAAGAGTGGTGATCAGACGATGGTTATGTCAGTAAATTAATTAGTCAGTCAAATGTCCGAAGTTATGAACACACAGAACTGTGAGTATACCGGGTAAATGGAGATGACAAGAAATGAGGAAGGAATATGCCGATAATTTACAATAGCGATATTGATCGAAAAATTTCGACATATGGATGAGGTTAGCTTATCTAAGAGAAATAGTTATTTGGTCTTTACTGAGAGTGTTTTGGTCACTCTGTCTGAGGAAGTATTCCAGATATAGGGGACTTTTAATGAAAGAACGTTGGAGGTTACCCGTGTTTTCGCTCTCTGGAGCGCAATTTTTCGGGATGTCTTGGGGAGCGTGATTGTGGGATTTTGACAGAGTATCTTCTCTGGGATAGTTTGGTATGCCTGGTATGTTATATTACACTGTCAGGTCCTTTCTCAAACTTCTGTTGCTCAGTGAGAATAAAATGTCTTCTGAAGATTCGTTCTTTAGTCCAATCACCCTAACTATTGCCAACCCTTATACTCGCTCTGAAACAGCTTTTTATCTTCTAAAAAAAGGGAATCGCGAAAAGACTGTTAGGTTTGAGCTGAGGCCGTATGCTTGACTTAAGAATATAAGAAACTATTCTGTGGCAATAGCATCAGGCTTTATAATCAGCGTTGGATATAACCGCAACGATCGTTCATCTTGTTCTCTCACGCTTAAGGGACTTCAGCGAAGTCCCCTTGATTTATAAAGTTTACAACCATCAGACGGAAAAGCTTAATCTTCATGATGTGTGACGGATGAGAAGGTATGGAGGCGCCAATTACAATAGTTTCATGAGTGCCTCGGCTGTGTAATGCTTGCCAACACTGTTTTGTGTCGTGCACTTGAGCTTTGCCTGTACAGACATACATCGGCTCAGGTACCCCACGAACAACTATACTTAGCAACTCCTCACTAGTTGTTGACGGTTTTCTTCCAGCCTCTTCCAAAGGCCGTGGTTTCCGATGCACAAATGTAGTGTCCAAGAACTGTTTAACTATCAGTTTCTTAACTATCAGACTCCTCTTTCACTTTTAATGAGTTCAGGGTTACTCTTAGTGGAGGTAGTATGTTTTTAATTGTAGCTGGATCGATATACAAGCTTTGTGATTTCACTGAAGTGGTACCCACGCTATGCGCAGGGCAGTATTTGTCACAATGTTAATTTTTGGGGACTTCACTGTCTTGCGTGAGACCCCCTTCCGACAGTGGAACATTAAATGGGATCAGGAAATCCTGTTCATTGTCTGACTATTCTTATTGATTTTCTGTCTAGTAGTCACTATTTTACTTGATTCACCCCTTCTAACAGCTTACTAATTTTCCTTCTCATCTGGAAGTTGGGATAAACGACTCAGCTCTAACCTAAGTAAACTGAAACGGCAACGCAAAAGGCAAACACGAGCTCTGTATGACACGGACTCTCGAATTAGGCGTTGGTTTTACACAGACTGAGAGTGCCTAATTTCAAGGACCAGAAAGTGTGGTTTGACACACGATTTAGGACTAACAAATTCGATATTAAAGATAAACGTTAAGGAATAATTCTTGTCTAAACATGGGATAGACTGATTACGAGTCATTATTTTAGAGGTCAAACGATGTCTAAATGTCTATTAGGTATATAACAAAGTGACATATAAAACTTATTGTGTATTGTAACACTACTTCCAGCCTACCGTTCATGCAATTCGTTAACAATAATATGCATATAGTTTTTTCTCCTCACGAATCCTATGCGCGTGAAACTTCTGACTTTACCATGGCCCAACCTATTGTAGAACACATTTAAGTGTGGAGTAAAACAACCGGATGATTTCAATACGGGTGGTGTTGACTAAAAGATTTGTATACAAGTGGGTCATATAATCCATTTTGCAGTAGGATTCTCACGAATATGATGGAACATGGTTCGGATAACAAAAACGTATACATGTTTTGGTCAAACCAAGGGCTGCCTTTCTTGGATATAGTAATCTTGTATGGTATTATTACACCCTACTCAAATGAGTGGCGAATAAAACTTTTAAAATTAAGGGCGTATTGCATGGTGAAAAACAGATAGTTTAAGTTTAAAAATATACTTTAAGTTAGGGGTAATCCTGAAGATCTTGGACTATCACTGGTTTAACAAGCCTACTCGTATTTTCGGTTCATAGCATTTATCCATCGAAGTAGAGCTTCAGTGATGCGATCGCTTAATATATGTAGACTTATATGATTGTCTTACGATTCAGTAAGTTCCTAGCATAGCACTCCCCACTTTAGAAATAATATTATCCTGAGTTATTAAATGTCCTTAAGGGACAGGTAAAATACCACGAATACGAAAGTTTTTCTGAGACCAAAGAGAAGAACTGTCTGCTGAATATGTCATCGATTCCTCAGTCTCGGATGGTCACAATTCAAGATCCAGTTATCATTCTTTCAAGGCGGAGGTACATTCAGCTTAGCGGATAGTGCAGCAAGGTTCAATAATACTTTATTGGGTCTACCATTGCACCTGAACATCCAAATGGTCCCCCATGAATAGTAAGGCAGTTAGGGAATATTCTATGGAGTAGAGAGGGGTTTTTGAACCTGAACAGCTCAGTTCTATCTACTATTTGACCAGAAAAACAATCACACTACAGGTGATGAAAACTGAATTATTTGATAAGAAACAGCATGTCTACTGCTCTAAGAACATTTCTTAAAGATTTTTCGCCTCTATTAGGACACTAGTGAAGTCGAAACTCTTCTCCAGGAGGACTCAATTGTTTCACCTGTAATCCCTTTCCAGACAGTATTAGGTAAAACGGGTTTGATACTAACTAATGAAATAAATGCTTCATCTTAATTTAAATATTAGTTTGGCCTACCTCATGAGAGCCAGGCGGACGAGCCTCTGGCTTGTGTTCTTTTTTCATCAGTCATCCATTGGAAGTCATTCTCATTGTACCTCATTGGAAAAAGCTAACATACTCTCATATCAAACTCTCTTTTCCCGATCCATTTTAAATAAACGCAATCTGTATAAAATCTTCAGAAATTGGTTTCGTCATTATCACAGGGGGTTTAGAAATCACAGCTTGGTCGAGCAGTAACTACCCTGTTGACGTGAAGGGTTTGTAGGATAGTTCAAGGGCACCCTTCTCCAAAACTTTGCCTTGTTCCACAATATTTGTACAGAATATTCGACAATTTTGAGGAAACCTGTAGTTCACCAAGGTAGACGACATATGTCGGATGATTGGAGGCCTACTCGAGTTGGCTGTTTCGTCACATCTCGCAGTCAGCATCTAACTTGGGTTACCCAAATACTATGGCTACTTTGAAGGCCGTATAACACAAAGGACGTTATTGCAGAAATGTATTGGTTGAAGCAGATACAAGTGAATGTAAGACAACCGCCGAATGGTCCACTCCATGGCCTACGATCAACTGTTGTGTCCCTGACCTTGGCGATGACCGATGATTTTTTCGACACTCAGTGACCCAACTGCCGGATGATTTAGCTAACGTTCAGTAACGTTCCACTGACCTTACAAACCCATCTATTTTCTGTGGCTAAACCTCAATATCTTACTAGCTGAAAATGAATAGATAAAAAATAATTACTGGAGTATAAATCTTCATTAGAAACTAATGTAGAATCAGAAACCAGTATTTAATTGCAGATCTGAAGTGAAATAAACTCACACTTTCTTTAGATCGCCATCCTCGCTTGTATACTTTATCTCTGTCTAGCTGTTGCTTCATTGAAAGATGGACAGGTAGAAACATTTCAGTAGGAACACCATTTACAAAGTCAAACAAACACAAACACGCGAGAGAAGACAAAAAAGTACAGACCTTCACTTTTCTATCTCAAAATCAGAAAGTTTCGAATCAGAATGAAGTTATTGGAAATTGAGCAACTGTTTGCTGGTTGAAACATTAGAGGCTGGTGGCAAATCAAATAGTTTCGGAACCATCTCATGGCTCTGCTTCAAGATGACAGTTATCGAGCGGAGCTGCTTTCAGATCTTCAAGCAGACTACACAAAGTTTTTCACAATGGCAGAGAGAGAGCTAGAGGGAATATCAAAGACCAAGCCAGTCGATCAATACGTGAGACTACAGAAAATAGGGCAGGGTACGTTTGGGGAGGTATTTAAGGTGCGGCATAAATCAACAAAACAGCATTTTGCACTGAAACGAATTCGGATGGAACAAGAAAAGGAAGGAGTATGTAGCTTATTTAACACATCAATTTTAAAGTTTCCCATTACTGCTTTACGAGAGATACGCATATTGCAATCCCTTAATCATGAAAATATAGTGTGTCTAAAGGAAATATGCCACAGTCCACGTAAGCCTATTTCTAGCTCACACTATTCTCAGCGAATGCTGGTAATGGATTCAAACCACAATTCTATCTTGTTTTTGAGTTTTGTGATCATGATCTTGCTGGTTTAAGTCAGCAGATAGATTTCACTGAACCAGTCAAAAAGGCAATAATGAAACAACTACTCACTGGTGTTTTCTACTTGCATCTGTAAGTTTTTATGGGACCCTTTTTTTTGCTATTCTATCTTAAGTAATATTTGTTTTTTCGTGTTCTTAATGGTCAAGGAATTGTCAAGATTCATGCTATCAGATCACTTGACCTCACTCTTACTATGTGTCACTTAAAATCATACAATGTCCCACCCTTTTATTAGTAACCCGTGAACAAACAGGTCTATATTTTGGGCCTGGCGACGAAGCGAACTGACTGCTAACCTAAAGGTAGCAGGACAGACGCTAATTATGTAGTTAGATTTAACAGGGCTAGCAGTATTTCCAGTGATTAGTTTGACTCAAAGCTGAGTGTATCAGACTAATTCGTGGCTTATTCTAGTTGGAAACGCCACGTTCTGTTCGTCAGCGCTGCCTTATTTCTATTTAAATTCGTCCTAGACATTCTTTTAGGAATAATGCGTTGGTCAGTTGTCTTTGTCACTAATGCAAACATTTTTGGGATGCGTTTTCTCCATCTACATCCAAAATACTGCTTCAGAGTTGGTTTAGGTTGACCCCTGGATCGATACTAAAGAACAAATTTGTGTGTGTTTTTCACTCCACTAGGAAGTCTCATCAACTAAAGTAGGTTAGTTTCTAATGGGACCTCAGGATGGATTATGAAGTTCACTTGGCTTTCTCAAAGACTAATGAGTCAACATTTCTCCAGATAAATCTTCATTAAAGCTAAAATAATAATTTTAAAAACGTTTAAGTAAAGTTTCGCATTAACTCAGTTTTTAGTGTATTAAGTTATCGTAACTCGCAGGTAATCAGTTGTCAAAATATGCATTAGATATATGGTACATTATGTTACTTCTTAGTGAACCTCCCAATTTTCTGTGTGATGGTCGTGTAGTTGGTTCATTAAATAAAATTCCTTCACGCACCAGGTAGTAAACTAAGTCTATCTTAACCTTTATAATCAGTAATTTTTTGTATTAGGACAGTATATTTGTGTCAATATTCATTGTTGGTTGGTAGTTTATGTCCAACTAGTTACTTTTTTTATGCTAAGGTATGAGTAAACTCCTCTTAAGATTCTTTCGTCTTTTCTGTATGTGTATTTTCTACCCAAAATTGATGTATTGTTTATAAGATAATATTCAAGTTTATTTGTTGGTAGAAAGGTTTTTGGGTTTGATCAGCACTTGATAATTGTTGAACTATTTGATTATATATATTTAGTTGTCGGTAATTGTCCAATCTCCAACCATATACTGCACTACTTTTTGGTGTCGTTTGTATCCTCTTTGGTCAAACATTTCCTTATATGCCTGTTTACATAATTTGTATTAATGTGGTCCTCATAAACACATAAAATTTCTTTTGTTTCAGAAACAATGTTCTCCATCGGGATTTAAAAGCTGCGAACATATTGATTGATAAGAACGGCATTCTTAAAATAGCAGATTTTGGTCTGGCTCGGACCACTGTTGCCTCTATTCGTCCTGATCGCCCAACACGTTATACTGGACGAGTTGTTACTTTGTGGTATCGACCTCCTGAAATTCTCCTAAATGACCGCCATTATGGAAAGCCTGTAGATATGTGGGGTGCTGGTTGTATTATGGCTGAGTTATGGACAAAGTATCCTATTATGCAGGTAATTATTGAATTATGTCAAATAAATAATGCAATTTCCTCGTTTGATTCCATACAATACAAATAATACTTGTTGAATTATTTTAGTGAATAATACCCCAGTATTCGTAAAATATGTCGTAATTGATAGTCATTGCAAGTAACATAATGTACTAGGGCTTCCATTTCGTACGAAACGACATTAACGATCTATCACTTAATTATTTTACTTTAGGAAAATCAATTTATCTACTGTCTGAATCATAAATGTTTCTGGTGTAAGCGAATTATCTTCAACATAGATGTTCAAATTTAATTATGTGTTGCTCACTTCAAGTTGTGAAGGTGAAGTCCCTTTACAGCCTGGTCGTATCTTCACGATAATGAGCTTCGAGAAGCGATTGTTAGTCATAATACTGTAGATCGGTTTAACAGAAATCATCAATGTAATTTATTAGTTGATCGGAAAATAATTAAATTCAAGTGATTAGGAGTTGGGTTAATACTTAAATTGTATTGAGATTTCGCAGACTTACGACTTGGTTGAGGGATTCAACGTTTGTTCAGTAAGTTACAGGTTGTAAACCAACTTCTAAAAGTACTTCAGTTTGAGCATTGGGTTAGTATCATTGACTCTCGCACAAAACGCATGACTCAAGTTCGAACACACAAATTTGTGTTTGATAAGCAAGTTACAGCATCTAAAGTTCCCATGTCGCGCTAAAAATGACACTTCATCAATAAAGTTTGTCAAACAAGAGAAATAACATAATCAAGAACTTCATTTTGTACAAACTGATCCAGGTGGTGATAATAATGATGGATACCAGGAGTTTACATTTTTTCTTACCTCACTTCATTGTTAAATCAATAATTATTGGCTTAGGTCTTATTTTGTGTTGATCATCCTACAAAAAGGTCCCACTGGAAATTTTCTGATTTCACGAATAACGGCGTTAAGATTGGATATTGGGGACGTTTCGGATGAAGTTAACAATACAAACTTCGAAGTAATCTTATATGACTCAAGGGTGAGCATAATAAAGTATGCAATGGAATAGTTTAAAGATTAAATAAATCTTATTGGTTTTATTTGAAAAACTATCAGGAACGTGACTCTTGGAGAGACGAAGGAGGTAATGAATGCAACATTTATAATTTTGGTAAAAATTTAGGAATTTTTTCGGAGTCAATAGGTTGTATCGTGAGCGTTTATTAAGATCGCCTCCAGAGTTTTCTTCAGTCTATGAAGTCTATCTGTATACTTTAGATCCGTGCAACAAGTATTAAGTTGACAAGGTTTTAATAACAAGTATTTTTGATGTATAGAGTTGGAACTTACAGTATAGTAAAACGACTGCGTAAAAGAACAATAATAGAGATCCGTGTGTAATTTAGAATAAACAAACGAGTAGTGTAAATCCATACTTCGGTAGACTGACTCAATTCAATGATAGATGAACTAATGTACGTAAATCACAGCTACTGAAGTGATACATACATCGAAATCAGTCATCAACCATGTAGTGCAGTGTTAGATAAACTGTGATTTTTTAGAACGATTGTCTACTGTTAGTTTCCCTTCCTTCTTCCATTTCTTTTAAATAATAGTTGATTATTTCTACTGTGTGACTGGTAATTCTTTTGGTTCAGTAAATATAAGGAATCATATTGGCAAAAGGTCTCTGTGGATTTTTTCTTAATTAAATTTGTTGGTATTGTATTTTTCTAGGGGGACAACGAGATTAGTCAGTTGAACCTTATCATTAATCTCTGCGGATCTATAACACCTGAAATATGGCCAGGTGTAGAACGTTTGGAAACATTCAGAGAAGCTCGTCTACCTCAAGACATTAAACGACATGTTCGAGAGAAATTGACCCCCAAAATTTCTTCTCTTGCTGCTGTAGATCTCATTGATCAATTACTTGTCTTGGATCCCAGCAAACGTCTTGATGCTGAGCAGGCGCTTTCACATGACTATTTTTATGAAGATCCTCCCGTAGGTGATTTGCGATCTTTTTCCAAATCCGGGACATCTTATCTGGAATTCTTGTCGTCAAATAACGCTCGTGGTCGTATGTTACAGGGAGCAAATCGTCCAGGAATTGTACGTGGCCCAGTTGTTGGGCCTGGGCAGCAAATGAATTATCTTAATGGGCCTGGCATCATGCATCCTAATCGTCGTCCACCCTTACCAGATGACAATTCGTATTATGAGCGTGTTTTTTAGTCTGGTGTGCTTGTGTCTACAATACTTTTTGAAATATTTCTTTCAAAACTCATATGTAAATAGTTCACTTTGATCTTTAATCTCATTTTCCCTCTTTTTTGTCTATGTTTACTTTGGGATTGACTCCGTTTTTTATCTTTTCATGCCATGCAATCTGAATGCCATAAACACTTGGTATTTGTACCTTTATTTCGATGTATTCATTCTATTTTGCGCAATAATGTTTGCAACTCATTGCATGTGACAAATGTATTTAATATACTCTATAGAAGTATTGGGATTCTATCTACTTACTTCGACTACTAGTCACTTGTGTAAACTAGTGTCCTATTGTAGTAAAGAATATTACTTCTGAGAACGTGCACTGGTTTTTTAATCATAAGGTGTGGATTAAGCATGTTCATACTTCAAGAAGTTACATGTTACCAAAAGACTTTGCCATATGATGATTACGGCTGTCGAATTCAGACCAAGTTAATGATCTGGTCACAACAATTTACTTATTTCCAACGTTTTAAATTGGTTCCTCAATATCATTAGTTACAAGTCTAATATTCAAGCAACTGGTTGTTGCGTCTGGAGTTAAGCTTAATTAATTAACTGTTTATCTGGTACTTTCCTTGCAGTGACTTTCAGTTGAATGACTCAGGTTATGGATGCTTTTGTATGCTATATATATATATATATATATATATATATATATATATATATATATATATATACAATGAGAATGAATGACGTCTTGAAGATATAAAGCAGTATTTTATTTTCGTAATGATTCATAGGGTTAGGGAGTTTTGAAGAAAAGCTTGCTAGGTAAAATGGTTTTTGTCGCAACATTAAATTAAGCAACCAATATTCAGACGCGATTAAATACTGAACAACTTTTTAATGGCTTATTGTTCCAATCCGTTTTATTTTCTTCATGAACTGACGGGGTGTGTGCAAATAACGCGACACAGCCAGTCACGACGTAGAACCTGGTACGTATATACGTCAATTCAAGTTGCAACACCCCATCACTACTGAGTGTTGAGATTTTCAGACCAAATCTCAGAATTATGGGGTAAGAAACAGTATGAGTGGTGATAGAAAAGATTAAGCATTAAAATACGATATGAGGAAGAAATATAAATTAGTGAAATAAGAACAAGTTACGAGGAATTTAGAATTTGGGAGAAGACAAATAATCGATGCACCTGCGCCAACGATTTTGGGCCACAGCATCCCAAGTCTCTAACAATTGGTTACAATAATCACACGGACCCCAACCAAGTAGTCTACACCTATTAACATGACTCAGTCCAGTGGTCAATGACTTCGTGGAATGATACCATGTTTTGGTTTGACCGCCTGTGGCTTTCAACACACTACACCAGACATCTCCCATCAAGGTAGGGAGTATTTATATTATTATTTATTTCAACACATAAGTATAGGTACAGGGAGGCACCAAAATACATATGCGCCACACAAATCTCAATTGATTTGTGTGAGGGCTGTGATACTGCCCGGGTGCCCAAACCGAAGCAGGTGGTTGTCTTAGGGGGCCACACCCCGAGCCTTTGACCTGAACGTCTGACCCACAAGGCAGTGGAGCATCGTGAGGAGATGCAGTCCCATGGTAGCCGGTGACCAACGATTGGTTCATACGCCATTTGTTCCCGCAGGATACTGGAGCCCATGTGCACCATTGGTTTGGGATCCGGTTAAAGCGCCAGACATTCGCTTTTCGTCCTCTCATTTTCGTAAACAACACCCCCGCCACGAGAAGGCAGTGAGTAGGACTTCCCTGGCAGGGGCTATATACGCATGGCCATATGAGAGCATTTCGAGAGGGAGAGCGGACTCTCCCCACTCTCGGCCGTACCAGGGCATTTGGGGGCTAAGGTAGGGAGTGATGGGACATAACTCACATGTCCCAGTCACTTCCGTTGATGAAGATTTACTACCTCATCAACCGATTTGCCATGCTCACATTGTACCCTATTCCTGACCCAATCATTTCTTACTCGGTGGTCTCAAAATACACGAGCAAAACTTAGAAGACATCCTTGACCGGATACTAGTGACCTGTGGATATCTTCTGTTCTTAATGGCCACGTTTCATATCCATAAATTAGAACGGAACACACTGATGGGCATTAAGCCCTTCATTTGGTTAGAAGACGGATATCTCGCCTAGAATGCAAGTTGGCAAAAGTCAGTCGAACAAGGAATCCGTGCCAAGATTTCGTTAGACGCTAAACCATTAGGATTGACGAGACTCCCATTATAAGTGAAGCGGTCGATACTCCACTCTTTACCATTAATTCAGGCGCTAACACCAATCCTGAAGTAACGTTTTACAAATTAGAAAGAGAATCCCATCCTAAACACGTTTGCACTGTTTTGGCAAAACAGAATCTTACCATCTGCGTATTTTAAGTCAGCAAGTGAATTTCCTAGGAAAAGACCAACTGAAGATTCGGACCATAAGCGATGTCTGTAACGAAGTAGACTTGCCTGACGATGACCATAACCTTACTTTTTGAGTAGTCAGTCAGTAACAAAGGACCAGGCACATATATGTATCGGTCCAAGTTGCCATACCTCATTAGCACAACAAGATGAACATAGGATTGATAGTAGTTAATTCAATGGTGGTAATATATATAAAAAAAGGTTGCATATAAGGACACATATACCGACGCCATTGTGATCGACTCTGGACCATATCACCAAGTCTCCAACAATTAGTTACGATAGTCACGCAGACGGCAACCAAGTAGTTTGCATCTACTAACATGGCTGAGGCTAAAAGTTAGTGACTTAAAGTACTGATACCACATTTTGGTTTGGCCGCCCCTAACTTTCAACCATCCCCAACACTAGTCAGCGTGTAGAGAGCCTGTACAAGGCTAATGTACTTATCTGTGATGCCTTTCAATGAGAGTGCCGAAGAACCTTACAATCAACAGTTGTACGCTGCTACAACTATAGTCAAACGTCGAGAAGCATGTTTATGTTCTACAGCCTATCGACGGGTGAATATTGGTCCATACATCCACGTTCAGGTCTGGAACCAGACTAGTTCCCTCGGTTTTTTACGAGCTCTGGTTAGAAGTCGAAGTATTAATGAGGCTAATATTTTAGTCACTACATTAGTTAAACTGATTGCTCTGTGATTATTGAAAGGGGACTTTTGTCTTTTCTTATAGACTGAGATCAGTAACTATGACCAGTCAAATGACATTACGTCCAGTCCCCAGATTCTAGCTAGAATTTCAGTTAGCTGCAGGAAAAAGGACCATCGTCCTTAAAAATCTCAGACGTTAGTCCATCAGACTCTAATGCTCTCACTTGTGTCAGATTACTTATATTTTTTTCAACCTTGATAACAGCTGCCTATTACCTATCGCTCCCGCCTTTTCCATCTCTTCTGCTACTCACGATTGTTACGTATGCTTTCTATAAGCCTATGGTAAATGCTGCCTACGGTCCTCATAGTGTTCAGAAACACGATGTGAGTTTACGAGCATCCATCAGTTTTGTAGACGCCGCAGAAATCTACTGATTTTTCCCAGTATTTTGATCTAAGTTGCTGGTAGATGCCAATGCTGTGGATATCACTCCCACGGTCGACAAATCCCTTCTCCAGTTTTTCCTGAAACATATTCCTAACTTGTTCATCACTAAGTCGAACTTCAAGGGTTTTTCTTGCTGCAGCTCTTCTACGTTCAGTAAGATGCAGACAAATGTATCCGGACTAGAGCATGATCCAGTCAAAACATGTTTTCCACAGTGAACGAAAGTCTTCTATTGAACCTCTCCAACGATGATTAGTACCAATGTGATCTATTTGAGTTCGTCAATGAGTCAACTGTGGAAGTCGCCACATCAGACGATGTCGATCCTCATGTTTAAAGTTGGTGTTTGCTAGAAATACATGGCTATCTGAACATAGTTGCAACAAACGGTCGCCGTCACCTGTTCGCTGAGGCACAACACTGTAAGACCCGCTTAAGTGTCTTTCTGTTTGGTTTAGTCTACCTACCTGAGCATTAAAATCACCCACCACTATTACATCAGGGCGTTTAACCTTTTGAGTGAGGTTAAATAGCTTCCCAAAAAATTCATCTTTTATTTCACCTGAGCTGCAGCGACAAAAAAGGCAACCGAGTGTGTACCTATCTTTTCGAGTTCTTAGCCCCGTTTAGTAGAAAAGAACCCAAGAGAACTGTTTGGGGCCAGTCGCGCATGGCCTTTGTATGTTGGTTTTTTACTTTAAAAGGCTTTAACGCCGGAGGCGGTAATAGTCAGGGTAAAGTGAGTCGTGAAATCTTCAGAGTCGATCTTTTATAGTCCCTTCTATCGTGAGAAAGCAGCATCGTTGCAGATGCCCCCAAATGCCCTGGTACGGCCGAGAGTGGGGAGAGTCCGCTCTCCCTCTCGAAATGCTCTCACATGGCCACGCGTACATAGCCCCTGCTAGGGAAGTCCTACTCACTGCCTTCTCGTGGCGGGGGTGTTGTTTACGAAAATGAGAGGACGAAAAGCAAATGTCCGGCGCTTTAACCGGAGCCCAAACCAATGGTGCACATGGGCTCCAGTATCCTGCGGGAACAAATGGCGTATGAACCAATCGTTGGTCACCGGCTACCATGGGACAGCATCTCCTCACGATGCTCCACTGCCTTGTGGATCAGACGTTCAGGTCGAAGGCTCGGGGTGTGGCCCTCTAAGAAAACCACCTGCTTCGGTTTGGGCACCCGAGCAGTACCACAGCCCTCACACAAATCAATCGAGATTCGTGTGGTGCATATGTATTTGGTGCCTCCTTGTATCAATATCTATGTGTTAAATAAATAAATAAATGTCTGACGGAAACACCTTACTACTATCATACCCCTCTACAATTAGCAGTACGACATGGTCCTCGAACTTTAAGCTGCTGTTTTTAGTCTTACCGTTCCTCAGCCGAATTACCTGGTATAGTAAGACCTGAAGAAACATGTTTCAGTCAATATAGCTCGGTTGAATCATCACGATAGGAAGTCTTAACAACTATGGCAAGGTAGCGGCTACGGTAGGGTAGCCTTATTTTGTACAAAAAGAGGTTTCAGCTGGCGACTTTAGAACTCATCATTATTAAGGGACAGGTGAATCATACAGCAGTTAACTAAGTACCAACATACGCGTAAATAAACTCACAGTACTTAGATTATCTTTGGATGTATAAATCTGTGCGGTTTTCTTCACAAATACATGATTGATTGGGTGTATACATGTCACAAACCCGTCAGTATTTATATATAAAAGAACGAATTATGATGTAAATACACAGGATAAATTGATTGGAAATTAAAAGTTATGATTTAATTATTAAATTTACAGAGTATGTACATCAGCGATAGATTATCTAGTTTCTTTTTTTTGATTATCTGAAATGGAAACAAAAATATTAGTGAACCAAGTATTAGCATGAGGAAAGAATTTACTTGTTAATAGATGAATCCCATATTTTTTGTAGTACAAAAAGTGAGGTGAATGAACCAAAACACAAACTATACGACAGTAATAAATAACCCCCGGTCACGAGTGTTAATCCAGTCAGTTAGTTTACAATTTAAAACCTGGTACGTATGTATATTGACTCAAATTGGCATATTCCATTAGCATAGAGAGGAACTGCCAGGCCAAATCCCGGAATAGTAGAGGTAGTAACAGTATGAGTGGTGACTGAAAAGATTATGCATCGATGACAAATCGTTCCTAATGGAAAGGTTGAATATGCTGCCAAAATTACGAACAGGAAAATTACGGTTAATGACTGAGAAAATCCCAACACAATATTGTTTAATGGTTGTGAGATTGCAAACAAGGTTTCTTAGAGAAGACTTGTAACTTCGTCTGTAGCCCTTCTAGGGATACTGCTAGTGTTAAGCCTCGATGAAGGAGGGTTGGGCATGGGATGAGCAACCCTATTCCGTAGAAACGCTTAGTCTACGATGTGTTATTAATACTCCTTAGTAATAACTAATTGAAACAAATAATTGTTAGCAAGTGGGACTTTTTTACTTTTTTGTTTGTATACGTGGAATCGATAACAATTATCTCAAGAAAACACTTATACATTTACATTGAAGCATACTCTAAAAATTTGACTGACATTATTGTAACACTCATATGGTTGTCAAACAATCTACCTTTGTAAGATCATCTTTTTGAATTTTACAACCTGACAATCTTTAACTATAAGGAAACTTACTTTTAGCAACTTTGTGTCGGAGATTTTTGTAATCGTTGAACGTGATGGTTTTGTTGAAGGTTTCATCAACATATTTAATTATTTCATTTGGTTCTGAACCAACTGTGATCATCGGGGTTAAAACTTGCAACTGGTCTTGGCTGAGCTTTCTGGACCAAGGGTCGTTTGTTAAATATTCCCTGTCGCACGGATGATTGTGTACTGTTTTAGAAGCCGGTATTACATATCTGTTATGCTCGTATCTGATTCTAAACATGGATTTACAGCCAGTGAATTTTGATCTAAAAAGCTATTAGTATAATAACAGCTAGTTACCCTTTAACTCTTTGCCCAGTACCTTCCGGCTTTCTTTTGTGGCCAAAAGTGCACACATACACAACATAATGGTAATGAAGTCCAGGTTCTTCTTTATTTAATTTGCTTTCTCTAACTACATAGTGTGTATATGTCACCTATGTATGTTAACCAATATTTATGGAACAAACTTTCTGCAAAAGATCTATGGCCTCTTCAACTTGATTCCAGGATGTTAGGTGTCGGGGTCTCATTATCCTTTCAAAAAAATCTCTAATATCCACTGAAAAAGGCTTACTGGGCTGTGTTTGACTTGTAGACGGTAATGGATCAACCATGAGACTATAGAGAACAACAAAAGACAAATCATGTTTTTCTAGGACTTCATAAGTAACACAGTTTAAAAGGATGCTCGGAGGCGAGTATGTGGACATCTAACGAACCTTAACTGGTAACACCAGTGATTTAAGTTAGAAATAAACGACTCATATTTATGCTAATATCTTTGTGACAATCTTATATAAATAGATTGATTTCTCTTTGGTAACAGCTGCTTGGTCGTCGTTTGGTCATTCGACTGCATTGGTTATGTTCAGTTTGATACATCGAGAAGTAATAACTTGTAATAAAATAGATGGGCATATTATGACAACAAAATTCATAAAAAACGCTGAGTCAAATCTTGGTACGAGAGGCAAAAGAAAAATATGTAAAACACTGAACTTAGAAAAAATCTTGTTGACATTTATGAAGTCCCACTCGAATGGTTGTGGACGGGATAGAAGCTTCCACTTAACGAGTTTCTGTATTTAGTAGCAGTGGGTCCTCGATGCCTCCAGTTGGGAACCTAGATATATGTAACAAACAAAAGGGAAATGTTTGTAAATTATAGTGAAATACTATCATCAGTCCTTAAAAATGTGTCAATTTTCCTCTTGGAGAACTCCCGGGAAGTGGCTTGGACTACCCCAACTAGCAGCGAATCCCAGCATTTCACTACCCCTAGAGTAGGTGTCCCTGCAGTCCATTCTGTTATGTTGTGTCAGTAATTTTAGTGTTACCCCTAAGGTTTGTGTTGGGGCTGGGCTTATACAAGTATTTAAGGGTGCCCAGGAGTGTTTGGAATATATATATATATATATATATCAGACAAACTAGTAGGTTGTATCAGAGACGCATATACTCTAATGGGTAGACATTTAGTGATTTGAAGCGCTCCTCGTAAGGTTAGAAGTTGAGTCCCTGAACTGATTTGTGGATACGTTTTTGCATACACTTCAGTAATATTCTTACCCTTTTGGAGTGAGAGGAATCCATTTTCCATACTCTAAATTGGGCCGAAGAAAACTTGAAGATTAGGCGGGACATTCTATTGTAAGACCGGCCAAAAATGAGCTTGATTCTAGAAAATAAGACAGCAAGACTATTAGATATTTTCCGACTTTGGATACCTCCAAAGGGGAATTACCTAAGCTGTATGCGTAGTCTGTAACAAGTTTCAAGAGAACCACTTCATACTTTGAAGTGCTGAAAATAAATCCGTTGTTATTCGCCAAACTTTGAAGTTAAGTTAGATCCTCATAAAGTGCCAGCTTATCATCTTGGTTTCAAATTCTTCTCCACAGTTTAACATCGTCTGCCTAAAGCAGTAACTCAGATGATGCAGAGGAAGCAATGTATATAAACTGAAAAGAAGAGATTCTAATACTGAGCCCTGAGGACACCACTAGGACATTCTGTAGTTTGAGAAAAAGTGAAATTGACTCTAACCTTAGAAACCTGATTATTTAGATATTATGTGTGAACTAATTTATTAACAGCAACTTGATATCTAACAGTTTGAGCTTATTGATGACATATATATGATTGGCCCTATCAAATGCCATTAAGAGGTCAAGGTATATGAAACCAGTCTTTCTCTTGCAAGCAAAGATGGTTTTCTATCTGTCTACTACAGTCAGCGTGTTAGTTATACAGAAGTGACCCTCTCTAATAGTTTCGTTAGGGTGAAAAGGAGTTTGTGGATAAGAATCAGTCACGTGAACCGCCATCTATCAAGGACTCTATAACTTCTAAAGGGTACTGAGAGAAGTGCTACCGGTCGGTGGCTTGAAGGTTCATCGCGTCAGCCAACTTTGGAAATTAGTGCGATGTGTGCCAGCTTCCAGTTTCCTGGAACCCTGCCTCGGCTTAACGAATGTGAGAACATCACTCTAAGCGGTCTTGCTAAGGTTGAAGCCGCTTCTGTCAGCATAACAGAGTGAAATATAACCGGACCAGACAGTGTTCTTGCTTAGATGCTGCGGCCGATACACCAATCCGCCATTTAGGTTCACATTCGAAACTCCTGTTGAATTGCAGGTGAAACTATCGCCAAAGCATTTAGGGAGATAGGAAGGTTATATCTATTGGCCGTGGTCTATGATTCTTGTCTTTCTTGGTTATTCGTACTACTTTTTGGGTCAATATGCCTCTAAGCTTTATGAGCATCTAATCTTGAATATCGTCAACAGCATTATCAGGGCCCATAATTTCTGGGACACCCTGCAAAATCATGTTTCTTCCGCCAAAGAACGCCTCATGAGATTTCTTTGGGATATTTCTAATGAGATAGTGCTCAAAATATGGTACATCAGGCAGTATCCTTGCATCTTTTGATTCCAGCAAGTGACTGGCCAGCAAAACATCCAAGTCAACAGTGTAAGTGAATGTCATATAAAGTCTTGGGTGTCTTTCCCCCGGGTAAGCCTGATAATCACCGGTGGTTCAATTCTGGGAAACTTGTGATTCCTGTTTAACTATTCACAAAACATCCTGCCATTTTCGCTCAGAAGAATAAGAGGAAGGGCAGAGAGGTCTTTAGGGTTCATAATTATTGAAGAACAAGTCTTGATAGATTTTAAAAGTCTTCGAGTACGTTGATGCTGGAGTTAATATTGTCTGAAAGTTGACTTACGTTCCGGATTTTCGTGCTTTTTGTTAAGTAGTCGGATAATCTTAGGAATAATTGAACGTCTGCTTCATTAACTAGTGTTTTTACAGAAACTGTGCTGTTGAAAAATTCCGACGGTAGTCGGTAAATCCTGTTGACGAAAGTCCAATCACCTGCAGTAAAACTTCTCGGGACCACAGTTGGATTTAAAGAATTATACTCCTTGAATAACATCTTCAAACTCTAATGTTTCCGATTACTGCGTATACTCTTACTACTTCTAACATCACGTGATTTGAATCGAAAACTGAATCTCTCTGACAATATGGTATGGCAACCCGAACTGATGTACGTACGTACGAAGTTCTACGTTGTTACTGACTGGTCCGTCACACTGCATAACACAGCTGACGCCAAAAGACATCAGGTTGCTTACATGTGCCCTAGTGACAACGCTGGAATATAAGCTGTTAACCAAATTGGAATACATTATAAGTTAAAAGAGCAATATATTTAAAGCTGATATTACAAATACTTAAAAATACTAAAACTAGCCTTTTAACGCGAAAAACTTTAAAAGCCGGATGGTAAGCTAAGGCTAGACCACGGTTAATTATTAACTCGAATAAAACTCAAAAACAGAAGTTATGCACCTAACTTTAGGCACAGGTTAGATCCTTCAGTTCAAAAGTGTTACTTTTGTGTCCTAGGACACAACAAAACTTTGTTGTTTTTCAAAGTTAACTTTGAAAAACGCAAATAGATTTAGGATAATACTTTCCGCATCCATAACATTCTTGGCATATGTAAACGACAAGCGTTTCAAAGACACTACAGAGTAAACGAAAAAGCATTTGGAACAAAACACATCTGCCAATATGGAAAAAGGTGCTTCCCTGAGGAAAGAAATAATTGCTGTACCGAACAACCTTGTAATTTGACTACATTGTGGAAACAAATGGTGTATTATAACAGAAACTCAAAGAATTCCGCAAAACTTGATATATGTGAGATCAATGAGCTTGTGGGCCAGAAAATCGTCACCAAGTAACGGCAAAATCATCCATAAAGCTGACGATAGATACTTGTTCGTTATACAGTAAATTGAACAATTTTCAAATAAAAAATGGTTCAACTGGTGGTTCAAATGACTAACGTAGAATTATTAATCATATGCCACAGACTGGCTTGTGCAATGTTGGTTACATTTGGTGTTTACCTAGCCTTAGGAATTCATTTCTCTACTAATTTCATTTTCGTGCCACATAGTCATCGAGGCCCGATAAACAAGCATTTTTGGTAAGCCCTATAGATTGTAGCGGCAAATAAATCACCAAAATAAATAGCTATGTAAGTCTTCGACATTAGATGCTGACCACAGTCTTAATGGATTTATCTAACTGAAGGCGTTCGGTCATGCATCCGCACTAGATCAAGAGCGGAAACGGCATGCTCAACATCTACCGCATTCGCTAGCTAGATTAGTTCAGACGATCCTCGATATATTGATAGCTTATCAAATATATCTTTGAACCTCCTCGCTTCTGTCTTTTGATTTCACTTGGTGTTTACGCTTCATATTAGAAGGAGTTAATGGTTAAAGCGTTGTCAAACTCCGAATACATGTGGCACTTTCAAGACAATACTGGTTCATTCCCAACCGAGATTGAAGAGATAAGACGCGTTTACATAGGACTGGCATGTAAGCGGTGATGATGGATAGGTCATCACATAGAAATTCAGAGAGTAATATGATTGATCAGGATTTAATGAAAGAGGTTTGATGTAATATTATGGGTAAGATGTATAGACGAGACTAGTACTTCTGATCACGACTGGGAATAAAGTTTACCTCTACCTATTTAATCCTCGAGAGATTGATTAATTTGATGTAAATTTTACGAAAACTCAACTGAAAATTTTCTAATTATTTTCAGTATTATGCAAAAATGTGAGGTTCACTTTTGTCACTTACGTTACCAGCGCTACCACTAAATTTTTTTGAAATACCCCTAGGCACTGAATAAGTATTCAGACTTAAATTTAAAAACCTTAAGCTCATTGTCTTATTTTCCTCTAAATTTCTGCATAGATTTAATTTAGCTCATAATGTATGTTGTTAAAAACAGTAGTCATCTAATAATCATCCAAAATTTCCTTAGGCATTTCTCACATCATAATCTTACCCGTAGTATCGAGCATTATTATACACCTACTTGATTCGTCCTAGCTCTTCAAGAAACCTCAAAATGAACATAATACTATGAAAGTTGTATCCTCATGATGACTACTGTTTCCATAGGAAACTGTGACCACCAGTACACGTTACAGTGAATGGAACAATGTCAAGTCCGTATGGGTTATTCTGGCAGCCGGATATCACGATATGATCAAATGGGGAACACATTAACGGGCCATTAAATACATACCATACTTATGTCAATAATTTGTGTAAATATTAGAGGAAGAATAAACCCTTTTTCAAAAATCGCATCAGACACA